CCTTCCTGGAATAAATGGCAGGAGAATATAATCGCAATATGTGGAAACTACATGCTTCCTACTCGAAGGCACTGCTTGGTTACAGAAACTTCCCATTCATGCTCCTTGATCATATTAGTCAAGACAAGAAACTGTGGCAGATGCTTCCCGGCTGATTTCCAGAAGGCACAGACTGACCTGTTTTGAAAGTCAGGTAAGATAGCAATGAACAGAAGCTGAGAAGACAATTGTCTCCAATTCACCTGGATTCCACACCAAGAAAATGTGCAGATCCCTTCAGGTTCACCTCCACTGGTATCTTTGGGTGAGCTGCATCAGATACCAGGGAACAGATAAGTGGTTTGCACTGCCTGGATGCTTAATTATTGCCTGTTCCATCAATTCATACTTCCTAAATACCAGACACCTCGAAGACTGGGACTATCATTGACCTTCCAACACCATGCTAAAAAAGTCTACTGCGTCTATTCTCATTAGGAAGGCATTTTTGCCCTACCTCCCAATTCTCAGTCACATTATTACAGAGCCAAAAAAAAAAAAAAAAAAAAAAGAATTTTGAGGGTCATTAGTCCTATCTCTTCCTTTTACAGATGAGCCTCAGTTACATGACTTGACTAAAGTGTGCTAATGGCCAGCATGGAGAATAAATACACCAAAGTGCCTGCCTTCTTGGGATCATCACAGGATGGGCTTTCTGGCTCGGACTAAAATGAAAGCTCAGGGAGTAGGAAGAGGAAGATAACAGCTGTTTTTCCTCTCAGTGGAGAAGGAGTGGCCAGGGTGGAGACCAAGAACCCAAATTCAAATCCCAGCTCAATCACTTCTGTAACCAGGGGCAAGTTACTCCGTTCAAGGAAGTCCAGTCATTTGCAAAATGAGAGGAGATGGGCTAAATACCTTCTATGGGTCTCACTCAGCCAGATAAAAAGTAACTAACCCTAGAGCTCTCCCAGGTCTACAAAGCCCCTCAACAATAAGTTGATAAGCATTTAAGCACTGTGCAAATGCTGGGGATACAAATTAAAAGCAAATACTCCAAGGGTGCTCCAGTAATTTAAAGATGGAGTTTCCCAAGGACCCTTTGGTGTGAATGTTATTAACCCTGAGACCAAGAGAGGTTAAGTGACTTGCGAAGGGGGTCACACAACTTGTCAGCATGTAAGGCAGAATTCATTTCATATTCAGGTCTTTGGGATTCCAGTATCAGTAAGATATTCACTTTACCACGTGAGCAGCCTCTAAATTTATAACTCTAACTTTCAAGTCACTTTGCACTTATCAGATCAGCAAAGTTGACGAAAATTGGCCAAATGCCGGGAAGGCAACGAAATGGACCGCAACATCAGAGAGCTTATTCTATAGGAAGGAAGCAGCAACATCTACATAAACAATTAAATACAAAATATATAACAAGGAATTTCCTGGAGTAGGGTACTAGCAACAGGGAGGGGGAGAGAATGAGACTTCACTTGAAACTGTCTATTCCCTTTCCCTAAATGGACTCTTGTAATTAAGCAAATGTTTAGATTCTTAAGAAACACATTTGTTAAATGAGGAGGAGGGAAATGGCGGCAATGATGAAATCCTACCAGTTGTAGCCATACAGTATGGGGGAATGTCATCCCTCAGCAGGGTTTAACTGAACCATCTGGTTTTTTTTCCAGCCTCCTCATGTCCGTCACTCTCAATCACAAGGATTTAGGGCCAACTACTGCTTTCTGTTTCCTGACAGCACCAGACAGCTGCCCACCCCTTACAGTTACAAAGGGCCAGTAGAGTTTCTCATCCAACTACCAGCTAGAGTGAGGGGGCGTTGAGGGAAACAGAAATCCCTCATTTGTTGCTAAAAATAACACAGGCCCTAGAAAGGAAATGATTATCTTCCCATCCAACTAGACCCATAGAATGGTTCAGATGACAAACTTGGTAGAGGTTTGAAAATGGTTGGCAGATCACACTTTTCCCACCATAGCACCTCCCCCACCAAAGGATGTTAACTATTATTAGGGTGGAGGGAGGTGAAGGGGCTGGAGGTAGAAAGATTCCAGGAACTCAGAAGAAAGGTCAGATGATCCTTAAAGGCAGAAAAAAGTGTCTGAAAATAAAGATGTCCTGGTAGCCTCCTTATCTCCGCTTCCCCCCCCCCCGGAAAAAAAAAACCCCCAAAACCCTGGTGATTTACCTGGGCTTACAGTGAAGGGGGGGATGAGAGAGAGAGCTGGTTACCATCTAAAGGCTTTTGAAAGATTAAGTCCCATTCTCCTTACCCTACCCCTTACCCTTACCTAGTAAATCCTGAGGAACAAATCTAGAACTTAAGGTGTGGACATGATCCCTGCCTTCAGGAAGCTTCCAGTCTATCTGACATTGGAAAAACTTTCAAGCCAGTATTGAGTTCAATAAAACTTTACTGCAGGGAGCAAGTACAAGGAAGAATATGAACTATGTAAATGAAGACAATTCTAGGTACAGAGAAGTCAATTTCCTCACATGTAAAATGAAAGAGGTTGGTGATACACAAGAAAAAATGTTAGATCTGGGAGTAAGAGGCCCAAAGTTTAAATCCCGACCCTATCACTACTTACTACCTTCAACCTTGACCAAACACTTTGAACTCTTGGGACATCAGTTTCTCATCTATGAGGTAAAATGAGAAAGTTGGCCTAGATCAGTAGTGTCAAACTTGAATCTAGGGCCACAAAACCATACCGAGGATCCCTGCAGGCTGCATGATGACTTAGAAAATCATATAATAATATTATCTATGTTTTATTGTATTTTTATCTATTTTACTAAATATTTCCCAATTACATCTTAATCTGGTTCCATTGCACAGGAGTTATGGTCACACGTGGCTTGCAGGGCTACGAGTTTGATGCCTCTAAGACCTCTATAAGGTCCCATCCAGCTTTGACCATGTCTCTCCCTCATTCAATAAATTTCAATAAATTTCCTATTATGTCCAGGAACAAATGTAAAACATAAAATTTTTGGCATTTAAAGTCCTTCACACCTGGCCTCCTCCTGTATTCCCAATCTTCTTACCATCTTCTGTGATCCAGTGACCCTGGCCTCCTTGCTGCTCCTCCCACAAGAGGTTTTCTCTGGCCTAGCATTCATATTTCCCCATGCCTGTAACACTTCCCTTCTCATCTCTACCTCATCTCTCATCTCTTCGGACTTCCTTCAAGTCCCAGCTAAAATCCCATCTTCCACAAGATTTTTCTGGTCCGTTTTAAAGCTAGGGCCTTCCCTCTGTAGTCCACTGTCTCCTTCCTGAGATTGAGTTCTTTGAGACCAGTGACTATCTTTTGTCTTTCTTTGTCTTCCCATCCCTTAGCAAAGTGCCAGGTATATACTAGCTGCTTGTTGATTTTATATACTACAACCTAAGCAGCGATCAACCTAGTGCCTCGATCCACCGCCTTCCATTCAGCTCCCCCAGCCATAAGCCCAGCCCAACCTATTCTCAGGATTTTCAGTCTCTTTGCCTTCTTGCATTAGACTCTAGTTTATTTTGCTTATTACTCATACTTCTACATTTGTGTATAGACATCTGAGGCTGTTTCCTTTCATTTTAGATTTTGTCTCCACTGAATTTCTGGTTACCTCTTTTCCTGCGGTGCAGGAATAAGTCCTATTTTTTCATAGCAGATCCTCTCCAAACGAGCCAAGAAATCAATCCTCTTTCACGTGTACAGGGTCTCTTCTCTAGCCTAAATAGCCCTCTACCCCATCCACTCCTCCATCATTGCAAAAAGGGAGGGGGGAAAAGCCTGAAATGCTTCATTTCCTTGGAATCTATTTTCAACCCAGAGTCACTTGGTCCATCCAAGAAAAGTCAAAGAGGCACCTTTGTTTCCCCACAACAGACCTCAGTGTGGAACCTTCCATTTTTCTATCAGGGCCATGGATGAGGATGGGAGTGAAAAAGGGAAGAGATCCAATCTAAAGATTCTCTTTTCTTCCTCCCCATTCCCAAAACAAAGTCTTCAAAATCACCTGACTTTTTTTTTTTCAAATTAAGATCATGAAACCAATAATTTAAAAAAGACAATGTCCAGTTAGGGAGAATAATTTAAATAAGAGCCGCAGAGTTCCAAAAAAGGGGTTAAGATAAACGAATGGGGCGGAAGAGGGTTGGAAGATTAAATCATGGTCAAGTCCGGGCAAAATGTTTACTCTGTCCCTTCATCCTCCTGGGGCACATAGGAGACACTTATCAATATCTGTTAAATTGAGATGAAGTTATTGCCTCATTCGTCTCCCCACATAGTTCCCAACTCCCCAAACCCCAAACCCAGCTGTCTTCCAAGGTGAAGATCCCAGCTCTGCCCCTAGGGTTCACGCTCCACTCCCAGAGAGGGAAGGCACCCACCTGGAATAAAGAAATGCGTAGGTGCCCTCTGCCCCCTTGCCCCATCCCTCTCCCCCGCGTCCCACTCCGGGCTCCTGTGCCCGTTGCACGGTTCTCCCAGACAATCAACTAGCATTCATTATGCGCCTCCCGTGTGCCAGGTACCGGGCCAAGCGCTGAGAATACAATGAAAGGCAAGAAGACAGCCACATCACAGCGGGGCGAAGGGAAGCGCGCAGAGAGGGTGGGACGGAGAAAGGACCCTGCAATGCAGCCACCGTGCCCTCTCCCCTAGGGCCGTCCTCGGCCCCGCTGGAGGTGAGACAAGGGCAGAGCAGCCAGTCCTCCATCAGAGCTAGGCGCACACAAAGCCCTTCACCTTGTTTTCCAAGCTCCTCCCCGGGCTCCGTTCTTGAAAGGGTCTCGGATGCCCCCTTCGGTGGTCCTCGGCACGGTGCCCCCCTTCTCCTCCCATCTCTCTGGGGCTCGCCCCCCCCCCAGCCCAGCCCAGCCCAACCCCGCCTCCCCACCCTGCAGTCGGGAGGCTCCGCGCGCCCCCTCCCCACTGGGATCGCTGCGGTGCCCACCCAGGGTGGCGGGTTCATGGGCTCCCACCCGGGCGCGGGGACCGTGCGGCGCTTACCTGCGCGGAGGCGGCAGGGGCAGAAGACGGAGGAAGAGGAGGAGGAGAAGGAGGAGGAGAAGGAGGAGGAAGAGAGAAGGAAGGGAAGGTGAGGCTGAGCAGTCAGTGCCCCACAGCTGCCCCGGCAGCCGAGCTCCTGCCCTTGTGCAGCGGCTGCAGCGGCCGCCGCGGGCTGACTCCTCACTGGGGCTTCCTGTTCGGCTGGACAAAGGACATTTCCTGGGAGGGGCGTGGGAATGCTCCCAGCATGCCTCAATTTGTAGTTCCCGGGAACTTCCTGCCCGCAGCCCCCCGCAGCCCCCCACGGCGCCGCATCTCTCTTTCCCGCAGGGACAGTCCGCGCACGCCTCCCCAGCCGAGCGCGGCGGCCCTGCGTCAGTCTGTGCCTCTATGCCACGCGCGGCCGGCCGGCCGTGGCCACACCATCCTACACCGCTACCTGGACCCCTACGAGCGCAGCATTTAGGGGGTCAAGCTGCGGGGTTTGTCGCAGTGTACTGGAGGAAGCCTTTTCTTTCTTTCCTAAGGGACTGAAAGATGGGGTGTCTGGGATGTGGGTGTTATTTTTTGGGCTTGATTTCTAGAGTTTTGATATTTTATTTTCTATTAAAGACATTAAAGACGCAGAAATCCTGCTTGAGGAGGGGGGTGGAGCTGTCATGAAGAATTTAAAAGCAATGTACTTGTGAGATTAATCTAAAGGAATCAGTCTCGGGAATCTCCTGGTTCCTCACCTTCTTTGACAAACAAACCTGATTGGTTTCGGACTCCTACCCTCTGACATTCCCATCTTTGCTGTTTTCAAGAATGCTGATGGCTTGGAATGCTGAGGGACCTTCTGTGTATGGCTGTGGTAGCCCCTACTCGTCTCACCCCTAAAAATAGACCTACTACCCTTTCAGAACGTTAGAAACCAAGGCAGAAGGGAGTGCCTTCTAAAGAAGGGTAGGGAGAGGGTGAGTAGGCAGAGATGGCAGCTGAATGAATCACAGAATCTTAGAGTGGAGGGGCCTGAGAAGCTGTCCTGTTCCTCTAGAGCATTCTTCTAGTCACTTAGAGTGTGTATGTCTGTATGTACATATACAAGTATATGTATACACATACCTATACATATATTCACCCATTTACTTCAATGCTGGCTCCCCCATTAGAATGTTAATTCCTTGAGAGTAGAGATTATGGTATTTTCCCCCCTTCCTTTATATTCTCAAGCCCTTAGCATAATGCTTAGCACCCAGTAAGGGTTTACTTAATAAATGCTTTATGATTGATTAAACATATGGAATAAATCACAAAAATCTTACAGTGGACTACACACAAATTAGTGCCAACCTAAATTGGGATCATGGATTAAAAGCTTTGCTGACCTGGATGGAATCCAGTCTCCTCCTTTTATAGATGAGGAATCTGAGGAACAGAGAAGTTAACTGTGGCTTGCCCTGGGGATCCACACAGTTAGTAGTATCTAAGTGATTTGAACACCAGTATCTACTATACTAGGCTCTCCTAGTAACAACGCAATCCTTTTATTCATCTCTGATCAGCTTTCTATCAGATTGCCCACAGTGCCAGTTACAAAGTTTAGCCATTTTCTCCAATCCTAAAGTCCTTCCCTTTCCCTTCTTTTTCTCCTCCCCTGATTCCTACTTTATTTATGACATGGATGGAAAGGGACTTGAGTCCCTTCTAACACTCCTCCTTAGCTAGCATTTTTCACGAAAGGAGGAGTTTCACAAAACATGTGAACAACATGAGAACCACCCTCAAATCAACTTTTAAAGACAAGTTCAATTGAGGAAAGACTACCAAGCCACCAGGCTGGACCCATTATAGGCCACTGAGTTGGGGTGGGAGAGTTCACGTAGCCTGAAGAAGCATCTGGTGATACTCCTCTTAATTAACTATTCTTGCTGTGTAGGTGCTATGCTTAATTGGTTCTAGAAGTTCTAGATGCCCAAGGAGTATAATTTCTGTCAACTTACCTCCCTTCACCATACTCCAGTAATAACTTTGTCCCACTTCAATCAATTAATCACCAAGCATTTATTAAGCCCTTACTAAGCCCTGGGGATACAAAAGAGAGAATAGGCAAAAACAGTCTGTCCTCGAGGAGGACAATTCTACCGGAGGAAACAGCATATATGAATCAGAACAGAGAAGACAAACACAGAGTGGATGGAGGAGGGGATGGCACTAGCAGCAGAGGGGAATGGAACAGAGTTCCTAGAGGAGAGAGGGCTCATTGTTGTGGTTGTGGTTGTTTGTCCTCCCTTGAAAAGAGGACCATGATGTCAGGGATGTGATGCCAGGACATGCAAGTGAATTGGATTTAAGTGAGGGAGGGCTGTGCCAAGTCACCATTGAGTTGTAGAGTTGTGAAGGGGAGTAGAATGGAAGAAAATTGGAAAAGTAGGAAGGGATCAGGTTGTGAAGAGCTTTAGATATGACTATATTTGATACTGGGTGTAATGGGAAGCCAGTGGAAGTTATTGAGAGGCGGTTGGTAGGGTCAAATGTAAATTTTGGGGAAATCACGTTGGCTCTGACACATTCTTTCCCCTCCTGTCTCAGAGGAAAGTGGCCTTCTTCCTCCTTATCAAGGAGGATGCTTCCACTGATCTCATCTTCTCCCATTTCTTCTGACCTTGTTCCATGATCATCCCCTTTATACTGGCTCCTTACCTTCTACAAACAAACGTGTTTAGTTCTCAGTTAAGAGAAAGAAAAACCTTCCTTTGACTCTGCAATCCTTTCAAGTTGTTATCCTCCCTCCCTCGCCCATTTACTACCATGCCTGCATTTCCTCACCACCCACTCCTCAACCTTTTTCAATCTGTCTTCTGTCTCCAACACTTTTCCCCCCAAGCTAATGACTTTCTTATTGCCAAATTCAACATATCTTTTTGGTCCCCACCCTCCTTGACTTTCCTGCAGTGTTGGCCAACCTAATTCAATTCAACTGAATAAATTTGATTAAATTTAAGCATTCATTAAGCAATTATTTTGGAAACTCTCTCGTCCTGGATATGCTTTCCTTACCTGGGCTTCTGTAACACTACTCTCTTCTAGTTTTCTCAGTACTTATGTGGTTGCTTTTTCTCCGGTTCCTCTTGTAGTCTGATAGTTTGTCATCCTCCTGCCACCAAAATGGGGGGGTCCCTAAAGCCGCTGCCTTTAGATAGTAGCAGGGAAACTTGGCAAGACTCATATTAAACTGATATAGAGGGAACTGCATAGAGGCAGGAGAACAATTTATACAATAACAACAACATTTTCAAAGAAAAATCACTTCGGAAGACTTAAGAATTCTGACCAGTGCCTTGACTAACCACAATTCCAGAGGATGGATGATGAAGCATGCTGGCCACCTCTGGACAGAGAGGTGATGGATTCAGGGTGAAGAATGAGACATCTATTTTTTGATATACCCAATGTGGGGATTTGTTTTGCTTTACTGTGTATATTTGTTATAAGAATTGTACTTTTTCCCCTTTTCATTGGGGGGAAATGGCAAGGAGAGGGATGTTTCAATAGGGTTGACCAGAAAAAGAAAGGAAACTTAAAAGTTGTTGAAGCATTTTTAATGCACAGAAGAGAACAGAAGGAAGGGTAAGAGGTCTTGTATGGGGAAGTGGGGGAGAGACAAAATATTGAGTCAGGTGATGAGGGGAGCTCCTCTGGATCCACTTGTCATCTCTATGCTGATGATGTTCACATTTACATATCCAGCCCAACTTCTCTGCTGATCTCCAGTCCATCATCTCTCACTGCCTATTAGACATCTTCAACTGGATGTCCCATAGACATCTTAAACTCACTATTTCCAAAACTGAATTCATCCTTTCTTCCAAATCCTTTCTTCTTCCTAACTTCCCTGTTTCTATTGAGAGTACTGCCATCTTCTCAATCATCCAGACTTCAAACCTGGGTGTCATGGATGATTCCTCATTCTCTCTACTCCACCCCCACCCCTATGTCCAATCTCTTGCCATATCCTGTTGATTCTACCTTCGGAACATCTTTCCTCCAACATGGCTACCATCTTAATGCAGGTCTTCATCATCTGATACCTGGACTATTGCAGTCATTTGCTGGTGGATTTCCCTGCCACAAGTCATTCAAGCTCCAGGTTATCTTCCACTCGAGTATCAAAGTGATCTTCCTGAAGCACAGTTCTGGGCAACTAGATGGCACAGTCGATAGCACACTGGCCCTGGAGTCAGGAGGACCTGAGTTCAAATCCGGCCTCAGACACTTGACACTGGCTGTATGATCCTAGGCAAGTCACTTAACCCCATTTGCCTCCCCCCAAAAATAAATAAATAAATAGATAGATAGATAAAGCACAGTTCTGACCATGTCACTCCATCCACCACCCACCCCCTACTCAAACTTCACTGGCTCCCTGTCTTGTAGGATCAAACACAAAATCTTCTGTTCGGCATTCAAAGCCCTTCATAACCTGGCCCCCCATTACCTTTCTAATCTTCTTAAATCTCCCACCCCTCTGCAGTCCAATGACTTGGAGCCTCCTTGCTGTTCCTTGAACAAGACACTCCATATCCTGACTGGGCATTTTCACAGGCTGTCCCCCTGCCTAGAATTCGTTCCTTCCTCATCTCTGCTTATTGGCTTCCTTTAAATCCCAACTAAAATCCCATCTTCCATAGAAATCTGAGGAAGAAGTAGCTTCTTATACTCCAAGGAACAATGATATGAGTTCTTAAATGCTACCAGAAAGGAAGTTGGCCTAGAGGTAGCTAGATGGTATAGTGGATAGGGCACTGGACCTGGTGTCAGAATAGACCTGAGCTTAAATCTACTTTCAGATACTTACTAACTGTATTACCCTGGGTGAGTCATTTAACCTCTGTCTACTTTAGTTTCTTCAACTGTAAAATGGGGATAATAATATCATCTACCTCAAAGGATTGTTTTGAGAATCAAATGAGATAATATTTGCAAAGTGCTTAGCACAATACCTGGCATATTAGTAGGCAATTTTCATTCTCTTCTCCCATCCCATTTTTTATGATTAAAAAAATGTGGAAAAGTTTATCAGTGGAACTCATTAGATAAGCAAGACCTGCAATAAATGTGCACAGCAGTCAGTGTGTAATAAAATAAAACTCTAAACTAGAGGGAA